ACTCACTGGGCATGTCTACATGAGATGCTACGTTGCCACAGCAATGAGCTACAGTGATGTAGCTTGTTGCTATGGTAATGTAGCATCAGTAGGCACTAATCATGACACTGCCCCTTCTGCACAGTAGCTTGTTGCTACTGTGCAGTAGGGTCGGAAATGACCACTGTTTCCTTTTGTTTCATCCCATTCACTTCTTGTACAGTGTTGTTGATTAAGTGTTGATGAATATTTGGAAGAAATGATAAACTCATTTATGATTGTTTCTAGTATTATTCTTATCACTGTAGTGTCTGAGTGCCTTTCAGTAATACAGCAAACTATGGGATTAACAAAAATGATGTGTTTTTGTTCTTTCTTTTGTTAGTCTATTAAGGTGTAAACCTACCCTGCCTTCTGTGTTCTTTCTTTTGTCATTTCCCCAGGAGGAGAATTGTGTGCCCACAGTCTTAGTCCTGGAGCCTCAGGCAGTCATTTGGATAGCCCAGGCTCAGTGGCTTGTTTTCAAGATACTATCCTAAATTCTACCTTTCTTTGACAAGTCAAAATCAAATATCTGCTTCTGAAACAAGGCTTTCTGAAGTTGGGGGTTAGTGGTGGTGGTGGTATATGTGTGTGTGTAATCTCAAACCTGTTGAAATCAGGGAGAGTTTTGTAGTTCCAAGATTTCAACCAGGTGCTCTTCAATTTATTACCACAAGTTACAGCCCTGATTTCAGGATTTTCAAATCAGTACTAAAGCAGCTACCTAACTCTAGTGTGCCCTTCAGTCTCATTCAAGTAAATAGCATATCCTTAAAGTTAAGCTCATGCTTCAGTAATGTCCTGACTCTTGGTCTTTGGGTCTAACTTTAATCCCATGGATGGCAGTGGCAAACCAGCCATTGACCTTAATGGGAACAGGATCAGACCTTTTGCAACAGCCTCCCCAATGAATTTAGAAAATGTTACTGACTTGTCTGTTAATGTTCTAAGATTTATGCCTTAATGGAAACCAAACTTTAGAAATCTGAATTCCTTGTATAATTTCTCTGATATGTTTGGGTGTGCGTGCGTGCGCAGACCATGCGGTTGCCTGTTATTGTTTATTAAAAGAGGTTTTATTAGACACTGCTTATACAGCATTTTGTGAACTTGTTGATGAAAGACGCTATATAAACTGGACTGGATTCAGTAAATCTAACCACTTGCCAGCAACTTATTACTGTTTGACTCTGGTGACCTAGCAACAGAACAGCAGCCAGCTAATGAGCCCAGAGTTCCTCATGGTCCTGCTTTGGCACTGCTCTCATTGCTGAATGGAATTTATGACTCTCTGCCTTGCATGCATATTTTGTAGGAAGCTGGAACCACTAAATGAAGAGTCATGAAAGTTAAGAATTCCAAGAGACAGGACAGATGTGAGGTGATTAGCTCTGTACTCTGGCTTACCTTTGTTTAGATAAATAGTTGAATGCATGCCATCATCAAGGCACACTGTTCAGAGTCCTGGAAAGAAATGTGGCTTGGAATTGTAAGCCAGAGATGATGGGAAGAGATTTGTATCCTCTTTTCTTATTTTAAGTCCCAGATTCTTACGTTCATTTCCAAAATGGGCTCGTATCTGGATTTGGAAGAGTGTTTTTGCAAAAGAAGATGCTCTTAAAGGAATAAATCACATGTTGTAGTGTTAGAAGATATATGCCATGAAGAAGAATAGAGTCATTTTTGTATTTGATAGATATTCATTTATTTCCTTTACTCTCTCCTCAAACTTCACACCTACTAACAATATATATGATTTATGGTAATTCAAATCAACATCACCAGTTCAACTAAATATAATCACTTTCTTGATGCAAGTCTGCAAATTATAGAAAGCTGTTACTAAAAAGGGGCGGAGGACAAATCTGACAACATAAGTATAAGAAATCTTCACAGACAACATTATTCAAAGTTTTATGTAATCATATCACTCCTTTCTGGCATAAAGTCAAATCATAAAATATATGAGCACTAAGAACAGTAAATGAGAAAATAAGTGGGGGGTGGGAGGGAAAGAAGAGAAAAAAACCCAAGTTCTGATTATTAACCATGTGGTCTCTAAACAGATGGCTTATATACACTTTGGTAGAGGTACAGAATTAATTTAAGCAGCAGCCCTCTGGTAAGCAGGATTGTCAGACCTTCTTAGGAGTTGCTTATATACGATATACTTGGAGTAAGTCTACATATTGGTTTTGCATAGCCACTTCTGGACAGAATCTTGATAGAATGTAATCAAACTATATATGGTTATTGCTGTTGCCATTTCATTTGTCACTCCTTGAGGAAGTTTATGCCTTAGTGAATTCTCAGACTTCCAGCATGTTCATCTTTATATTATTCTGAGGAATGTTTTTGGAAAGTTTTGGTAAATGGTAGGCATTTTTCAGATAAACTGGTTATTATCTCATCTCAGGATATTTGGCTACTCTGCTACTAGATCTTAGTGAAACTTCAGCTTTTATACTACTTTTAAATGCATCTTTTAAAAATTGATTCAATTTCAAGATTTCAGTGTCCCTCTGTGCAGCCAGTATCAGCCACCGAGGTCTACAATAGCTCTGAAAATTAACTCATCATTTTGTGATTTTTCAAACATCATTTGTACAGTTGGAAGGGCAGAAACACAATTTCTGTTTCTGCACCATAAACCTCCCTTTGCCCATAAAAGGACCAGATGAAATGGCAATTCAAATAGCTGAAAGAGGTGGAGTCAACTAATAACACTTTATAACAACCAGCAGCCAAACAATGTATAAGGCAGGGGCGGGCAATTGTTTCAGATGGAGGGCTGCTTAATGAGTTTGGGTGAGCTGTTGAGGGCCACAAGGGTAGCCCCACCCCTTGACAAATGCCCCTCCACCTAGTCACCATCTTGGAACCGGAAGTCCCACCCCTAACCTTTGCCACTGGGCATCCCTCCTCTTGCCCGTAGAAGTACTCCTTTTGGGAAGAGGGTTTGCCATCTTAGAACTGGAAACAAACCCAAATTATATACTAAAAATCAAACATCCATAACAATATATTTTAATTTAATTAAAAATTTAGTTTTGTCCTGATTTGTGTTTGTGCTGTATATATAGAAGTGATTGCATAATAGCTCAAAATGAAGTCTTACTCTTGTATATTGTGTGCAGTGTGGTGGGGTGTGCAGGATATAGATAGGTGTGTATGGGGTTTGTGGGGGGTGTGGATGGGTGGGTATGGGGGGGTTTGTGTGGATGGGTGTGGATGGGGTTTGTTGGGGGCTGTGAGGTCTGTAGAGTGGGAGGGTGATTGGTGGTGTGTTTGTGTGGGTGCTTGTGTGTAGTGGGGTGTGTGTGTGTAGCAGGGAGCTGGGCTCCCCAAAGAAGCAAGTGGGTGGGTGTGTGGGTGCAGCGTTTGTGGGGTGTGTGACTGTGTGTGATCAGGCTCTGGGCAGCTGCACCAAAACTGCCTGTCAGCGGCAAGAGAGAGGGACCACTTTCCCTTGTGCTGAGCTACAGTTTCTGCCTGGCACTGCTGCTGCTGCTGCTCAGCTCGGACGGGCGAACCTGGAGCTGGCACTGAGGCCCAGGCTCATCAGTGGTGGTGTGGGAGAGAAACTTCTGCTCAGTGTGGGGCAAAAGCAGGCTGTCCCCCTCACCACTGCCTGGTGCAGCTGCCCAGAGCTGTTATGGGGCTGCCCTGCGTCTGCTCTGTGCTGCTACTGCTGCCACATGGGGCAGCCCAGAAGCAGCGGTGATGCAGCAGAGATGCAAGGCAGCCCTGTGTGGGCTCCAGGCGGCTACACCTGGAATTGCCAGTGAAGAGGAGGAGTTGCTTTTCACCCACGCTGATCTGCAGTTTGTCCCGTGCTGCCACTGCCCAACCCAGACTGGTGAGCCCAGAGCTGGTGCAGGGTCAGGGCTGTGCGTACTGGTCCCTGCCTTTACTGCAGCACTGGGAGCAGTGGCAGTGGCAGCCTGAAGGAGCTGCTAAGGCAGTCCCACCGCGGAGCCACCCCAGCCCCACTGCTTGCCAATGGGGTGGCAGATTGTGCCATGTCTGGGCGGTGCCTCAGCCAGGTGGGACCAAGGGACCTGCTGCAGGCCGGACATAGCCCCTCCATGGGGTGGATTTGGCCCCTGGGCTGGATTTTTCCCACCTCGATGTAAGGGAATGTCTGCACTGCTTCAGTGGTGAACCTGGGAATGCTGCTGAGAAGCACGCACCACCACTTGGGTTCAGTGCACATCGAACTCAGGACTGAGACGGTCTCACTGGCTTATCACAGCCTTGAGACAGAGAACCTGTGTGTGGCTCTGGGCAGGTGCTTAGGGCCAGGCTAAACCAGCTAAACTGCTTCATCTCTGGACTGTGCTGATCAGTGAACAGGATGGTTGGTGGAGCTAGGTGAAGTTACATTAGCCAAGGATCTGGCCCATGGCACATATACAGAGAATGAGCAGTCTTTCCAATTTTAGCCTTAACAAGAGCTTCACCATAACAGCATCTTGAGAAGAATATTAATCACTTGAGCTAAATGAAAGAGCAGGCAGAAATGTTTTGCTTTTAAAGAGATGGCAGCAATGTGCATTTCAGTTAAACTGATGAGTGAAATTGCTGGTAAGAGTCATGCCCTAGATTTGGGCTCTTAATGGTCTGTTGATCTCTAGAAATCTCATTTTCAAGAAATCAAGAAGCTTTTGCGGAGCCATGTTACTTTCAGATCGTGGACGCCTCTGGTTTTGCTGGCAAAGGAGATCCTATTCATGTTGACTCAGTCAGAATACTCATATTACTTTGCAGTTAGTCTAAAGAAAATACATGTACCTCTTGGTCACAGCCGGCATGAAGATTTCCTAGCTAATACCAGGCATCAGCCACTTCTCAAACTATTCATTCTTATTGAAATCAATAAAAAGACTTCCTCAGAAGGGGAAAGCTGCCTTTAAAATTGAGGTGGGGAGGGAGGAGTCCTTCTATCATCTATGATGGGAGATGGGACTAAATGAGGCATGACAGAGGGAGAATCAAACTTCTACCTCTACAAGTAAGATGTCCATGAAAGCTGGAGTTTACCTCTTTGCTGTGAAAGAGATCTCTGTCTCAAAACCATGGCAAAGTGCAAGTTACTGAACTGCTGTCTATAGGGATGTTGTTGTCCTCTATTACTCAATATTTTGGTATGTATCCCAAGAAACAGTGAAGAAAAACAAAATGCATTGCTTCAGTTTAGATCATGTTATCCAGAACTTCATAAATCTTTGTGTGTGTGAATTATAGCTGAACTACCCACAGCTACTGAGTTATTTCCTTAACACACTTGTACTGCAGATGGGCCTTATTTTTTCATGCAGGTTTTGGCACACAGAACTGGGCTTCACTGGATTTTCTATATAGTTTAAAAAACCCCCAATGGTGCTTTAAAGCAAATTGTTGGTTCATTGTTATACTTGGCTAATTGGTTCTTTGCAAGCTAAATAATTCTTTTTCTAGTATTATTTTTTTATGCAGTGCATATTTCTGAAATTTGGAAAGATCAAAGTACAACTACAGACAGTTGCAATAAGCAGACTTTCTACATGTGTATAACAAAGGCTCCTTTGTGCTGCTAAGTACAACAGAGCTACTTATGGGCTTCTCTGAACCTCAGGGCTGTGAAATATTGCACAGGTTGATGCAAGTTCATGATGTGATATTGTTAGTTAAAAATTGATCTAAATTCTTGCTCCAAATCATTTTTCAGTGAAACACTGGGCTAAGTGATTTTTTCATGGAAAGTTTTTTTTTTTTTTTCCCCCCTGGAAGTGTTGATTCCATATTTTTTCCATAATTTTTCCATATATTGATTTATATTATTCTGAGGAATGTTTTTGGAAAGTTTTGGTAAATGGTAAGCATTTTCAGATAAACTGGTTATTATCTCAGGATATTTGATCTTGATTTAATTCTGTTGTTGTTCAATAGTCAGTGTTCTAGTTCTGAATTTTGTTGGGATTTTTTTGCCACCTGTATTTTTGGTGTAGGCAAGAAGCCTTCATAACATCCTCAATTAAACTGTTCATTTGAGGCTAATATAAAGCATCTCTGGGCCTTTTCTGACATCTTTTAATTTTGAAATGACCACTGTTTGTCTTTTCTAACTAATTGTCCTGTCATAGTTTCATTGTTGGCCTTGTTGGTTGAGCCAGTGTTTAGGTCATCTTAGGATTCTAGTAAATGGTTAATGTCTTAAGGGCCACGTCTACATGAGACACTGACTGTGCAGTAGCTTGTTACTACTGCGGAGTAGCTCACTATTACACAGTAGTGTTACGTGCCATGAAGCATGATGCGACTCTACTGCACAGCGGTAACAAGCTACTACACAGTCAGTATCACCAAAAAACTGTTCGGGGACGCTACTGTGCAGTAACTCTGGTTACCATGCAGCCATTTAGCAATTGCGTCTGCTAAATGACTGCACAGTAACAACTGCACGTTAATAACTGTGCAGTTAGTGTCTCATATAGATGTGGATAAGGTCTCCAAAACTAAGGTTTGCTTGATGGTCAAACCTACCCTGGATAGTAACAAGAAAAGTAGAGAGCAAACTAGAAGGACTGGGAATAGCCTAAACTGATGAAGAAGTTGGGAATTAATTCCTGTATAAACTCATTATCTTTTCAGTCAAGCCGTAAACAGATGTATCCTTTTAGGTGGTTCCAATTGTCCTGGGTTCTGACCTGCATCAAAAGAGGAGCGGCACAGCCATTTACACATGTAGCCCTTCCACCCTGCATTGCTGCTCTTCGGCCAGTAGGTGGACAGCAAGAGCACACAGCCTGACAGGTTTGTCCCTGGAATGTGTCACAGTCACAAAATACAATGTTCCAGGGAAAAAGCATTAGCATGTTTTATCTCACATACTGGAGATAACAGGTACTGGAAGCAGCACAATGGATGATTGTAGAATCCTGGGACAAAAGATTTTCACCTTGGAATAATGCTATGTTTTTAGCATCACGGTGTATCTTTTTGGTTAATTTGGAAGATAATCAAGGAACGTAGAAATAAATCAAAATGGTAATGTACAAAAATGCAAGAAAATATAATAGAAAAGTGTTACCTACCTGTGTGCATGTGTGTTAGCCTGTGATTGAATGGTTAAAGGAAAAGTATATGTATAAAGACGTACGTTTTCAAGGAAACTTTGGATTTATGTACCCTGGCATTTATCCCTTGAGCATTCAGCTGACGGTGAACAAAGGCTATTTGGTTCATACTATCAAACCTGCAGCAGTAGGGCTCAAAGAAGGGTCCTTGGAAGTTTGCCTGAGTTAACTGAAAGCTATTAAAACCATCAAGTCTTTCAGAATTGGCTTTTCTCAGAAATAGCACTACCTTTGGTAGCTCTGCATGGAACTGATTTGCGCTGTGTAGATTCTGCTACAAGAACAGCATGGTCACAGCCTCTTTGGGTTATCTCTGCAGGACACGGCATTGTACTATGTTGGCATACGCTAAATTTCAAACATTGGAATCTGCTGTACTGTGCTGCGTAATTGCTCTTGTAAATCTGGGCCCGAGTGTTTTCTGAGAGTGAAGACAGCAGGTTGGGTCACACACAAATGAGAAATTTCCAGGAAGCCAATTGTTGTAACATTTTGCGATAAGCAGCCCCTCTTACTTAGTGGCATGTGAGAAAAGCATTGTGCTCAGAAACAAAACTCACTAATAATGAAGCAAGGTAATTCCACAGCAGATTCACTAGGGATTTACATTCTGACATAGTTATACACTACTCACAGTATTTGAAGCGTGCTCCTTTGTACAACTGCTAGTAATCATCATGAAGAAAGTTGTTTAGTGATTCAATAGTTCACTTAGCCACCCCTTTGCGTCTCATTATCTAAAATTAGATAATCATTTTAATGTTGATTAGAAAAGCAACCTAGTTCAAAATGTCTAAAAATGTTTTAGCATTAAAATGCCTATGTTAATAATCAACTTAACTGCCAATGATTTTGAAAAATTTATTTTCAGGAATGTAGAATGCAAGGGTGTTCTCTGTGTACTGTGATGGTCAGGACAGTAGGTACTATAGTAATGTATTTACTGTTCCTTAACCCTAACCTGTCAGATCCCTTTGCAAAATCATATCATACATAGAGTTGTAAAGCAATGTACCAAAATGACCTGGTATCCAGAAATAAGGACTGTACAATTCTGAATTGGGATTTGGCTGCAGGAGGCCTGTTGGGGAAATGTAACTTCTAGGGCCTGCTCTTTTGACTCAGTAAATCTTTGGCACCACTTCTTCACATGGACTTAAAGCTGCCCAGAAGGGAAACAGGGCTAATTCTGAGAAGGTAGACAGGGTACATGAGTTATCCCTGTTGCTTACCACCAGGCCCAGGGGACAGTCAATGAAATTAAAAGGTAAGAAATTCCAAACTGGTAAAAGGACACATATATTGTTGTTTGGCTGTGGAGCTCACTGCCTCAGGATGTTATTGAGGCTGAGGACTTCTAATTCAGAAAGAACCAGAGTATCCAATAAGTATTTTCATTAAGGGCACAGACGGAAGTTATGTTTGTTGTACAATTGGCCCCTTGAAAGTGCTCTATTGTTGTGCCCTGACTGAAATGCACGGCTGCAGAGTACTTTAAAAGTGCCAGATTGCGAGACAAATTAACCCTTATTTAATGAGTGTTCAGATAAAGGCTTCCCAAAGTGGAGTGCTTTAATTAACTTGTATTTGTCCTTGCCTGGGAGCAGCATTGGGCTGATGCAGCTGAGCCCTGCCCCTGGTGCTGTCTTCAGGATGGGAGGGGTGGAAGGGAGGGGAGAGAGCTCCAACCCACCTGCCCCACCCTTCAGTGCAGGCTGGACAAACCCCAGGTGGAGTCCCCTCCCCTCCCATCCTGAGGACAGCACGGGAGCTAGGGACAGGGAAGAGTTTGAGGGGAGCAGGGCATGGCTAGGGGAGAGGCCAAAGGGCAACCTCTCTCTGCTGGATCAGCTCCAAAGTGGAGCTCCATCACCCCTCCCCCCCGCACCAAGCAGTGAACATCTGTTGGGTCAGGGGATTGCTATAACTCATGGCGCTTTCTGTAAAGTACCATGAGTTACAGTGAGGAGCTGCATGTCTGTCAGCGCCCTAAGTGACAACACATGCTTTGCAAGGAACACCAGACCTTTTGCCTCCGGGCATAAACCAGTCTCTAAAGATTAGTGAACAAGATGTGATTATCCCAGATCTGTTCACTGCTGTGTTCCTGCACATTTCTCTGAAGCATTAGTCACTGCTGTGAATGGGATACTTCTGTAGATGCACCTGAGGTCTGATTCAGTGTGGTCTGAGGTCTGACATAGATGTACCTAAGATCTGATCTGCCTGTTCCCTTACCCATGTTAAGGGAACCCTTGTCCCATAAATTGTCACTGCTCCTTTGTTTCAGCATAGGTAATATATTATGAGGCACACCATGAGTGGGTGGGAGCTATTGAACCAAGTGGGGAAACTGGTTAAAAGAAAGATCCATGGGGGAAATATATTAGCTTTAGATTCAATTATAGTTTAGCCAGGTATTTGATTTAGGAGACTAGGACTCCAACTTGGGAGGTGCTGATGCATGATTTTAAGCATACACATGGCCCCATTTACGTTGACTACCGCTAGCTCCTTGTTCCTTCACTGGTAAATACCTAGCTTAGGATCCTCTTTACATTTGCTGCAAGGAGGCTGGTCTGTCAATCTCACCTTATCTTCAAGACGAAAGGAGATGGATGTGCTTTTGAAGAGATCCATCAGTGTGGCCTGAAGCATACAAACAGCCTCCCTGCTGCACCTTTGAACTTTTCTCCTTCATTTGTTTGTCTTGAAGATAAAACTCCACAGCAGTTTTTGTAGAGAAGTCTAATGAGGACCAGTGTTTGCATAACAAGGCAAAGCTTCCTCTTTGAATGTCCAAGCTTCATTAAAAATAATTTATATTCTAGCTAATCTTCGACAGTGCATAAGATGTTCAGCCAAAGTTTGTTTTTACATAGTTTGGAATAACATACTGTTTGTTTTAAATGGTCACTTGCAACTGATAGTGGTTTCAAATGCAACACAATGATATATTGTGATGAACTGTGGGTCAGCCAGGGCATGCTTTTGTGTCATTGACTGCCATTGCTTTAACATTCACCTGGGTCACTTATGCAATTAAGGAAAAAAACAGAAGAGTGATTACTTAGCTTTCCAGACTTCTTCAGCCCCTACACAAAGCATTCTAGAGTCTGTTATCTCTAAAATCAACAAGTTCACTGAAACCAGATCAGATTACTTTTAAATTTAATTTAATGTTATAGAAAATAGGGTGCCAGTTGACTTTTTTGCTTAAATGGTTCTGACAATCACAAGCAAAGGAAACATTTTAAAAGAGCAACCAACCTCTTCATTTAGTGTCTCTCAAAGGACTTTATCCATTATATACACCTAGAAATGCTAATGAGAATCTTGGAGGTTAATCACAGAACATAGAAATGAAAAAATAAAACCATATATTTAAATATGATTGCTAAGTAATGTCTAGGAAGCACTTATGCTTTTCTTGCACCTAGAACTTTCTTGTAGCTAACAGCTCCAAACATTTCAGCCCCTATAAAGATGTTTAAACTTAAATGTCCTATACTTACAAAATCTTAAGCAGTATACTCATCTCTCTACCTAAAATATGTAATTAATCTCTCCTCATCTCTTTACTATATTGGAAATGAAATGTAACATTTAATCTGCTATGTACTAGTGTCTGAGATTCAACCTCTTCAGTTAGTTTACCCTGTAGTGACAGAGGTGTGGAAACACCTTTTGACATGTCATGAGAGTTTGTTTGTAGAGCACCAAGGCTAGGGACAGACATTCAGAAAGCCTGAGCCTGAATTGATTAAATCTTTGCAGGTTAGTTTAACCTGGCTAGGCTGAGTCGGTTTGTAACTGGACAGACATTCTCTCTGGACTGAGAAAATTCAGGCAAATGCCTGCAGTGGCTCAGGCTAGAAGCTGGGGCGTGCTAGGACAGCCCTCCCTCCTTCCCTTCCCAGGCCCTGGTCAGGACACTCTGATTGGGGAGGGCTGCCTGCACCATCCCAGGCTTTTCCCCACTGGCTGCTTAAAAGGCAGGAGTGTTGCCAGTCTCCAACCCCCTGCTAGCACTCTGAGGTAAGCGGGGTGGGGTGCAGGGCATGCATCTGTTGATACTGCACTTTTAAAATTTCCTTCCCTGCTTCTTTATACTGTCTGCAGCAAACTGACAGGCGAGCAACCAAGCTGATAACAGTGTTTAACACCTCATTAGCAAAACAATAGCCTCTCTCCATTAGTTCAAAATCTTTTAAACACTGTACCAGCAGACCTGTTGATTAGCTCCAAACAGCCCTAAGCAGTCACTGTTCTGTCTGCCTGTCCCAGTGAAATTGGAGACATGCACACACAGAGACACCTCTCAGCATTAGCTAGCATACCACATGCCTAGGGTGCAAGGGGCTAGGATCTGTGCTGTGGGAGATGGGGGTGGGGGGAATTCCTGCTTGTCCAGCAAGCAGCAAGGGGGTGGGGGTAGGGCAGGGGGAAGCCAGGCAGACCCTGCTGTGTCTGCAGTCTCTGCCAGAGCTCTGGCCAGGGAGCAGAGGGGAGGGGCCAGTTCTCTGTGGAGCAGAGAGCCCTGCCCAGCCCAGAGAACATGCCAGGATGCTGGGGGTATCTGGTTTATCTTAAACCAGCAAGGGGTCTGGGACAGACATTACATAAACTGTTTTGAGCCAAATCAGTTAAGTCCGATACTACATTCAACCATAGATTCATAGAAGAAGGGTTGGAAGGGACCTTGTAGATCATCAAGTCCAACCCTCTGCCCTGGGCAGGAGAGAAAACTGGGCTCAAATGACCCCAGCCAGGTAGACATCAAGCCTCCTCTTAAAGACCCCC